CTTTTTTCTCTGAGGTCTGCGTCTCACTGCATTAGACGAGCTGCTTTCTGCCCCCGTTTGCTGGACTATGTGGTGGGTTGAGGTTTTTTGCACATTATCGGTTACTCAGAAAGCCCAGTTCTACAGCATGTTTGTGGTACATGCTCCCGGTCATCAGCTCTGGGCTTCTCCCCAATGTAAAGCTGACTCAGCGTCCCATGGAACAGGGGAACCTCCTGGTAAAGACTTTCCCACACCCTGTATTCCTGACTGCAACCAAAACTGTCCCGGGGGAATCCAAGGCAGGGATCAGGAGACGGCTCTGGGAGCTGGAGTGTTGGGCACATGTCTGGAGGGAATAGGGTGACCAGATGTCCCGATTTTATAGGGACAGTTCCGATATTTGGGGCTTTGTCTTATAGAGGCTCCTATTACCCCCCACCCCTGCTCGATTTTTCACACTTGCTGTCTGGTCGGCCTAGGAGGGAGGAGATGCGCACAGGAGAGCAGCTGGCTCTTGACATTAGATTTTTCACACCCCTCAGCAACTTAATTTTCTAGGTGTGGCGTGGTTAATGTCCTGCTGCGTACATGCTGGGACTTTCACAGCCTGGACAATGCGTTAGTACTGGGATCTGAGATGACAAGCAGAATGACATGAAAACTATTTGGGTTTCCAATTGTAATAGTCCTGTGGGGATCTCCACTCTTCAAGCAGTTTGTACTGAGAGAGCTGACTTTTAGACAGACTTCCTTGTCCTGTAAGTCATTCTTCCTAAAACTCGGGGGGGGCGGGAGGGGAGGGGGAATGTTCAGAAGCAGATGAATTAAGGCTCAAACAGCCCATTGTGGCCAGAGCCATTTAAAGTTGGTCTTGAGCAGTGAGGCTGCTCCAGGTGGAGAAATCTTCTGAGTCCTTTAAACAACCACTGACGCGGGAAAACCATTCTCTCCTTCCCCATAGTCGGTTCCTGGCAAGCATTCAGATAAGCAAAGCTATAAAAAGCTAAATTCGTCCCAGGGGGAAGCAGTGGTTTTGTGACGTCATGGCAGATCAGCTGAAGTGTACACGGACTTCCCTAAGGGTTTAAAAAAACAAAACTCTCCTCCCAGCTGACGTATGCGGTGAGACACTCTGCCTCTCAACCCCCATCTTACAGGAGCGGCATTATTTAGATTATGTAACTGGTTGCTGGCTCCGTAGCAATGTGAGTGTTTGCTGAGGGATATGTGCATGTGGCAGCGATCCATGGCCCTAAGGAGAACACAGCCATGAGGTCACCAAATGGCACCTGTCACGATGCTGCATTTTTAACGCAGAGATCAGGCCAGGGCCGAGCGGCGCAACAGGACTCAGACAGCAAGAGTCTAGGGCCTCGGTTCCAGCCACCAGTGCAAACCCTAGTGCAGACAGGAAACGTTGCTATTTGCACTGGTGCCTGCTTGAAAGTGTTTGCACTGGTTGAATAGAGTCTGATAGAGGTGTACGTGTCCTATGCCAGGGGTTTGCATCGGTGGCTGAAATGGACACAACCTCTTGGTGCAGACAAGGATTAGGGTTTGCAGTCATGGTACGCGTGTGCGCATAAATCAGGCATTCCAAGACAGAGCCAGATGAAGAGAACGTGGAGTCTGAGGCAAATGTCATCTTTGCATTTCTCTGTATCAAACAAACATGACAAACTGTACAAAACAAGGCACTTGTAGAAATACATTTAAAAGAGGCTGTAACCAGTGACCTCAGGGGCATCTTATTGCGGACTCACCTCTCCCTGATAAACCCCTCTTTGAAAGAAATTTAACGTTGGAAGGTGAAAGGCAGCCACCCCCTGGAAACATTTGAATATCGTTTTAAAAATACGGTGCACTTTAAAATTAAACTCTGCACAGTGGCCCAAGGAAGGGCAACAGGGACTCGTGTGCAGTCAAGAGATAGGGCGTGCTCTCCCTGGAATGTTATGCATTTTGTTTCTGATAAAGTAAGAACAACATCTACTCCTCCTCCCCAGAGAGGAGGTTAAAAGTCAAAGTGCAAGTTTCTCCCAGAATTCTCATCCAGCTTCACTTGCAGTGAAGTTCCGCTAGCCGAGGCACAGCCTGCATTACAGACCTCACCTGCGGCCACGTTAGACAGACAGTGCACACACACTGGGACAGTGGTCAGCTGTCAGAATGGAGAGGATCAGGAATGAGTCAGAGACTCACCGTTCTCTACCCACCATTCATCTTCTCCAAGGTGCACCTCAAGTTAGTTTGTAGAAAGTTAATAAATTAATCAAGCTAGACAAAAACCAAAAACAAAAAAACCCTGAACAGTTCTGTTAATTTTCTAACTCCAAGGAGAAACGTTTCCGCACCATCTCTTCCACGGTATACAGCTTCGCTGCCCGGAGCGCATTCAGCAACACTTTGATGAGCTCCAAGTGATCCTTCTTCAATTTGGTGAGATACGTGTGGAACTTTTCCTGAAAGGCAGGCCTGGTGTCCTTGTGGAGGATCCCCTTTTGGTGCCGCTCGAGGATTTGCTGGAGGCGCTTCAGCTTTCTCACCGAGATGTTCTGGTAAACCACAAAATCGATCACTGCTTGTTTGCAGTCCTCATTCCCTAGAGCGGGGAGGAGAAAACCAGCATGAGGTTTAGAGCGCAGGGATGAAAGAGCAAACCCCATCAGAACTAGGAGAAAAACCCTAGTGCAACTGGACAGGTTCACGACATGAGGTCAGCAGCTGAGCCCCAAGTGGGCAGTCAACCAGCTGTCAGACCCAGCAGCACAGCCCGAGCTCTTAAAGAAATACTGTTCAAATTAGACAGTCTAAAATTTGACCCTGACATTTGTCCAGTCTTATACCTGCTGGTCTCATCCCATGGCTTCCACGGATGTATTTGTCCTACTGATTCAATGACAATCCCTGTGTGTGCGCACACGGCTAGAGAGAGATCTGTGTGGCCAATTTGTTTGTGCACGTGTGCACACACAAACACTGCAGCGCATGTGCAAAGCAGGGGCACACTAGTGCACTGACCTAGCATGTGATTATTGGCTCCAGCCTGCATGAAAGCACCTGAATTATGCAGATTTGTTTGTTTACTGTAAATCAAACTAGCTGAGGAGAGAATATTGATTGCCCGTGTGAGTTGCTGGATTGATGGGTTATGCATAGAGCTGGGAGAACATGTTTAGAATCACAGAACTGGAAGGGACCTCGAGAGGTCATCTAGTCCAGTCCCCTGCACTCATGGCAGGCCTAAGTATTATCTAGACCATCCCTGACAGGTGTTTGTCCAACCTGCTCTTAAAAATCTCCAGGGATGGAGATTCCACAACCTCCCCAGGCAATTTATTCCAGTGCTTAACCACCCTGACAGTTAGGAAGTTTTTCCTAATGTTCAAACTAAACTGCCCTTGCTGCAATTTAAGCCCATTGCTTCTTGTCCTATCCTCAGAGGTTAAGAACAATTCTTCTCTCTCTTCCTTGTAATACGTACTTGAAAACCATTATCATGTCCACCCTCAGTCTTCTCTTTTCCAGATAAACAAACCCAATTTTTTCAATCTTCCCTCATAGGTCATGTTTTCTAGACCTTTAATCATTTTTATTGCCTGTCTCTGGACTTTCTCCAATTTGTCCACGTTTCCTGAAATGTGGTGCCCAGAACTGCACATAATACTCCAGTTGAGGCCTAATCAGCGCGGAGTAGAGCGGAAGAATTACTTTTGTGTTTTGCTTTCAACACTCCTGCTAATACATCCCCGAATGATGTTTGCTTTTTCTGGAACGGCGTTACACTGCTGACTCATATTTAGCCTTTGATCCACTCTGATCCCCAGATCCCTTTCCGCTGTACTCCTTCCTAGGCAGTCATTGCCCATTTTGTGTGTGCAACGGATTGTTCCTTCCTAAGTGGAGTACTTTGCATTTGTCCTTATTTAATTTCATCCTATTTACTTCAGACCATTTCTCCAGATCATTCTGAATTATCATCCTATCATCCAAAGCACGTGCAACCCCTCCCGGCTTGGTATTGTCCGCAAACTTTATAAGTGTACTCTTTATGCCATTATCTAAATCATTGATGAAGATACTGAACAGAACCCACCCAGAACTTATCCCTGTGGGATCCCACTCATTATGCCCTTCCAACGTGACTGTAAACCACTGATAACTACTCTCCGGGAATGGTTTTCCAACCAGCTGTGCACCCACCTTATAGTAGCTCCATCTTGGTTGCATTTCCCTAGTTTGTTTATGAGCATCAAAAGCTTTACTAAAGTCAAGATATACCACCGTCTACCACTTCCCCCTATCAACAAGCTATCAGGTTGGTTTGATAAGATTTGTTCTGGACACATCCATGCTGCTGACAGTCACTTAGCACCTTATCTTCTAGGTGTTTACAAATGTATTGCTTAATTATTTGATCCATTATCTTTCCGGCTACAGACGTTAAGATGATGGGTCTGTAATTCCCCAGGTTGTCCTTATTTCCCCTCTTTATATATTGGCACTATATTTGCCTTTTCCAGTCCTCTGGAATCTCTCCCGTCTTCCATGACTTTTAGAAGATAATCACTAATGGCTCAGATATCTCCTCAGTCAGCTCCTTGAGTATTCTAGGATGTTTTATCAGGCCCTGGTGACTTGAAGACATCTAACGTGTCTAAGTCATTTTTAACTTGTTCTTTCCCTATTTTAACTTCTGATCCTACCTCATTTTTACTGGTATTCACTATGTTAGACGTCCAATCGCCACTGACCTTCTTAGTGAAAACCAAAACACAATCATCATTAAGCACCTCTGCCATTTCCACATTTTCTGTTTTGTTCAACCCAAAACAATTTAGTTTTTGTTTCGGCAGGAGGAAAAATGAACAATTTCCATTTTGGTTCAAAATAGGGCTGTCAAGCGATTAAAAAAAATTAATCACGATTAATCTCACTGTTAAACAATAATAGAATACCATTTATTTAAATATTTTTGGATGTTTTCTACATATTCAAATATATTGATTTCAATTACAGCACAGAATACAAAGTGCACAGTGCTCACTTTATATTTATTTTTGATTACAAGTATTTGTACTGTAAAAATGATAAACAAAATAGTATTTTTCAATTCACCTCATACAAGTATTGTAGTGCAATCTCTTTATCATGAAAGTTGAACTTACAAATGTAGAATTATGTATAAAAAATTGCATTCAAAAATAAAACAATGTAAAAATTTAGAGCCTGCAAGTCCACTCAGTCCTACTTCTTGTTCAGCCAATCGCGCAGACAAACAAGTAGGACTGAGTGGACTTGTAGGTTCTGACGTTTTACATTGTTTTGGTTTTGAGTGCAGTTATGTAACAAAAAAAAAATCTACAATTCTAATTGCACTTTCAGGACACAGATTGCACCACAGTACTTGCATGAGGTGAACAGAAAAATACTGTTTCTTTTGTTTGTCATTTTTACAGTGCAAATATTTGTAATCAAGAATAATATACACTTTGATTTCAATTACCACACAGAATACAATATATATGAAAATGTAGAAAAACATCCAAAATATTTAATCAATTTCAATTGGTATCCTAGTGTTTAACGGTGCGATTAATCGCGATTATTTTTTTAATCTCAATTCATTTTTTTGAGTTAATCACATGAGTTAACTGTGATTAGTCGACAGCCCTAGTTCAAAACAAACCAAATTTGGGTTTTTTTTTTGATTTTTCAGTTCAGCCAGCAAACCGAAAATCAGTCCAACACTCAGCTCTCATGGGTTGAAGAAATGGCATCCACCTCATTAAAATTAAGTGCTCAGGTAAAGGACCCAGATAGAAAATGGGGGGGAGAGACAGAGGGAAGGTACCTCATTGGTCAATGTTGGACCCACATTCCTAGGGCCAAAGGTGCCACGTTTGGGGGGGGGCACTAGCGACTCTGGGATATGGTTACTTTGATTTGGGTCTATGCCCTGCAGTGTGGACGTCAGAGCCCTAGGTTCGAACACATGTTAGAAAAGTCTTAACCTAGGGTTAAAATACAATGTAGATACTCAAGCCCAGGCTTCCTAACACGGGTCAGCTGACGCGAGTCCCAGTAACGCTGGGCTTACCCTAAAGGGCCACATTCATCCCCTGTGTAAATGCACAGAGTGAATTTGGGCCTGATCCTATATGTCGTACTGCAGGCCAGAAGCTCACAACAGAGATGGACCCAAGAGATCAGGACCCAAACGCTCCCAAAACGTAGCAGTGCCCAGACCTGGATTAAGGAAGGGGCTTTTGTGGCTGCAGCCCGGGACCTGGGCTCAAGGGAGGCCCTGCAAAAATAAATCACAGGAGCGATCTCTGGGGCTCTCAGGCTGCCTGTCCTGGCCCCACGCTGCTCCCAGAAGTGGCTGGCTGCTGGCAGGTCTCTGCAGCCCCTGGTGGGGGGAGGGGAAAGGAGGCTCCACGTGCTGCCCCTGCCCCCAGCACCATTCCCGCAGCTCCTGCCATTGGGAGCTATGGGGGCGGCGCTTGTGGGCGTGGGCAGCGCACAGAGACACGCTGTCCCCCTCCCCCCCAGGGGTGCGCAGAGACATGCCAGCAGCCAGCCACTTCCAGGAGCGGTGTGGGGCCATGGCAGGGAGGCAGGCAGGCTGAGCCCTGCTGCGCCACTGGCCGGGAGCTGCCTGTGGTAAGCACCTCCCGGCCGAAGCCTGCACCTCTCACCCCCTCCTGCACCCCAATCCCCTGCCCCTGGTTAGAATCCCCCACCTGTACCCAAACTCCCTCCTGGACCCCACATCCCCTCCTGCACCCTAATCCCCTGCCCCTGGTTAGAATCCCCCACCTGTACCCAAACTTCCTCCTGGACCCCACATCCCCTCCTGCACCCAACCCCCTGCCTCTAGTTAGAATCCCCCACCTGTACCCAAACTCCCTCCTGGACTCCACATCCCCTGCCCCTGGTTAGAA